CAAAAACAAACGGCGCAAAACACACCGGCGCTATTTCTAGATGAGTCATAACATCATATTTTTATAATTTTTATGTCATACTTTACTTATCATATATGACTTTAGGTCATCGTACGACCTTCAACATTACCTTACCAAAACATGAAACAATTCAAACGAATGAAAAACGGCCTGAATTATTACAAAACAAAAAACGAAAATCAAATATGACAGAGAGCAACCAACGACAACCATTGGCTCATGGCTTTGGACATGCACATTATTATTGTGGCGGGGTTAAACATTTTTGTTATTGCTCAATCCTACGCTTATCGGGACAGTGGTGTAACAGCACAAGCTTATTTTATTGACATGTTTCACATATAAAGCGTGGACATTACACCATTTTTGATAATACAATTATAGCAAAAACTAAAATGACACTGTATATGAATATAAAGTTAAATTGGATGAATCTCAGAGATAAATCATTAAAATATCTTAATAAATAAGCTTTTAGTATGAGTATTAAATTGGAAGTTACCGGAAGTACTGATTCTATGTTCTTTGAATAAAACCAATAAAAATGATTTGATGACACGTTTATCCCAATCGATTCTGTGGTTTAAGTATCCAATATCTGCCTATATGAATTTAACTTCCTGTGTTTTATAACTTTGATAATTCGTACTATACAAGGCTAGTACCATTTTAGCCTGGGACTAAGAAGAACTTTTTGGAACGTGTGAATACGTACTTCTACATTAAATAATTGGTCAACTCTTAATACTCTTCCACTCTTTGGGTGTTTTCCCCACTGTTATGACTATTTCTGTCTAAATCTATTTTTTAGGTCACTGATACCATTGCATTAGACTAGAGGCTAAAGTAATATGGACGAATTTATTATGCATGTCCTTTTGCCTGAGCGGAATGTATTAATACACAGCCTTGTCCGGTCGGAATGGGAATATTAAATGATATGCCTTGTGTATCAAACAGCAATTAATATTTTCAGATATTAGTTTGGAGAAGGAATTTATGTTTCCTTTGAACAATAAAGGTTATTTTCCCGACATGAATAAATGATATGAAATCACATTTAAAATCATTTGTTTTAATTTTGATCGAACAATCAGTCAGAAAATGTGATGGTTTAACTTAATATATATACTTTCTTTCATAAAGCTCCATCTTTTCATGTATTATACTTAAATATAGAAAATGGTAAAAATAACTAAAATTACAAATGAGATAGAAACCCCCAATCGGGTAATCAAAAGCCATAAGTGTAACAAAAAACCCCAATGATATGGCAAAATAAATAAGACAAAACAAGCAGTAATAAAAAAATACAACACAGAAAACTAAAGATTAAATAACAAGAATAATTATTACCGAAACCCGGTGATGATCTATTAGTTATTTGAGCTCCTATACCATTCCAAAGTATCTGCACACTAATTATGTAGGACTCTTGTAGAGCTGTGCTTTAGTTTGTATCACGGCCTTGACGGGTCGTCATCGTATTTTTAAACCCTATTTGATTTGTTGAAAACATGCAATTTGATTTGTTGAAAACATGCAATGATCTCACCTTCTCCACGAACCCTTTACAACTCTTTTGAAGTCCTCAACTGTCTTATTGATAGAAAAAGATATAATTTGTCTTAATTTTCAAGTTGAAACTACATTTTACTGACTATTCATCAAGTCACTAATTTTTCGGAATGTATGTGATTTATTATGAAAGGTTATTCTCATTCGGAATGAGCATTAAATGCTTGCAACTTGGAGGTAATTAATCACTTATTCTAGCGTTGATGATGTTTAAACAAGTAAACCGATTAATTTTGAGTCATTTAAGTGTGCCTTTCCCAGGCAAATATTCCGGCGTTCAGTTGTTGTCGTTGTTGTGTTCGGTAATAGATAGATTACCAGCACCTTGTGAATACGATTATAACAAAAGCTATATAACTTTATTAATATGATCATGGTTAACTTTGCCCCCACAATGTCAACGTGGTGCTATATCTTTACCAATCAAATTTTATTTTATGATCTATGTCATTATAGTGTTTAGAATAAACTCGGTGAATAATCATCGAAACAATTATAGCCCTTGACCTTATATAATAATTAAACACATTTATTGTCTTGTTTTATCAATATTCTATTAGGATTTCTAATGACAGTGTACATATCAAAGTAATCGGAAAATATAAGTGCTTAATTTCATCGGTAGTAGGCGATACTTTATAAGTTGTTCTAATAAAATCGCAGACGTAGTCAGTTATAATTTTCCAGAACACCTGCATTGCTCAGGATTGTCAAAACCATAATTGTTATTCTGTCATAAATGAAATAAAACAATTCCATCTGTATTGTATCAATGTTCTTCCGTCCGACCATTAACAAAGCAAATCATATATCTTTGTTTTATGCAAGTGAGGCTTTTTTTCATCCAAATACAGAACTATAATAAATCAATAATACATAAAAAGTATGCTAATCATTAGATTTGAATTAAACATTTAGATCTCTTTAATCCAGATTTTTACGTTTAAAGTCGTAAAATGTGGAGTTTGACGAAGATGTCTCAATTTAGACATACTACGTATTTTGTTGTCGTAAGTATATTACCTGTATTGATACATATATATGTTGGCAATATAGTCTTCATAGAAATGATACATCAAAGCCATTTGGATTTGATTTACATATACCATGCACATGGTTTTTTTTAATTTTGGTTTATTTATATGTTTCGGATTTTAGTGTGGTATCCATTTCGCTGAACTAGTATACATTATTGTTTAGTGGCTAGCTGAAGCAAGCTTCCGGGTGCAGGATTTTCTAGGTGCTTTGAAGACCCATTAGTGGCCTTGGGCTGTTTTCTGCTCTTTGGTTGGGTTGTTGTCTCTTTGACACATTCCCCGTTTCCCTTCTCAATTCTATTATCAAAAATATCAGATTCATAACTTTGCACGTCAGTCACGCGTTTCGTCTACGCATGTCTCATCAGTGGCGCTCGAATCAGATAAAAACTAGAGATGGAAACAGAAAAGGAAATAATTCGAAGGACAGGAATTTGATTTTAATTTTATATAGTTTCAATTGGCAGCAAAAATATTTGTACACAGATTGCAAGAAATTTCAATTCAAAGATTCGTTATTTGAATTCTGTTTGTACATGCCTTACACGTATACCTTTATTTAAGTAAACGAAATAATTGTATTCAGATACAGATGCTCTTGATCTAATTATCAGCAATTTTTGTTTTATTTAATCCGAGACAGAGCCCTGTTACACACTTTTAACATTAACTGAGCATATTTAATATTGGAAATGAAAATTAAGTTTTAAACACAACAAGAGCATGAGGTCCTAGTTAAACGTGATCAAGCAACAACTCCCATCTTCCGAATAAAAAATCCCAGTTTCTACTTAGAGATGCATAATAAAATGTTTGATGCAGAGTGTTGTAGTGATATAGTTTTTAATTTTAATCTTCCTAGCTCGGTTTCTAATTCGAAAAAAAATGATTTAGCGTGGATGTGAATTCGACAGCTAGCGCCATAAAAATATAAATTTTTTAAAAAAGAACAAATTCCGATAAATAATCCAAGTTTTTACCGGTTTCTTTCCATACAAATTTCTTAAAAAACTTGTTGAGTTCTGGTCTCACAAAAGTCCAAAAGATATTCAAATTCTTTGTCGCCTAAATAGTACAAATGGTTAAAGCTATAACATTTTGTAAATTTTTCGCGAAACAACTGAAAACTTAGGTATACATAGATGGCATTTCATAAATGTACAGACAAATTTCTTGACGTCATTATTTCATACATGGGGTTTTTTTTAAAGCTAAAATGAATTTGAACTACAATGAGCAAACAATGCAATGTGAAAACAATAATAACTCTCATCTACCTACGACGTTATTAAATGCCACATAAAAGCTAAAGATACTCATTTGCTTCTATTTCTACATTTGAAAAAAGTATTTTTAATCACCAATCATTATTGTCAAAATTTGGATACAATATAATGAAATAGTAAAATGCTTATTTGTATATTTTTTGTGTCATGTTCTACTTTTTATTATATTGACATATAACGATATTTCAATATAATGAAATCTGGTACATTACTTTGTACCGGATTTCATTATGTTTCATTTTGCAAGTAATATTACTATTTATTGTTGTTGACAGGAAATTAAAACGTTTGTTCCTTTTGGACAGAGAAATATCAATTTCTTACTCTTTCTGAAACCGTCTAAGTATGCCAAACGTCCTTAAAGCATGTAGTACTATTACATATTTCAACAAACAATCAAAGGGGTGGTCATTTTTTAAGCGTTTAATCATTATAACATAATTTAATAATAAAAGATCATATTTATGATAGGAAATGATATTTTTATACTTCAGAGATGCTTATGTTTGCTTTATGTCACAAATCTTTATAGAATTTTCAAAATATTTGAAAATTACTATTCACATGGATTTAAGATAAAACGCTTTCTATTCCTTGATTCAATAGTTAAATGCACAAACATGAAGTAATGACAGGCCGTGTTATAATTCTAATATATGTTAAACATTTGTAAAGTTTTGTTTTACTATCTTCGTAATTTGAATGGAATCTTTTATATCCTCGTCTCCCTAATGGCTAAATGCACAAACAAACGTTTTACTATAATATTTACCAACTTTAGCACGACAAATGTTAGTCAGAAACATTTGTACACTTGTTTACACTGTCAGTTTTTATCTTTTTAAACTCTTTAAAATCTAACCCTTTTTTACAGAAGTTTTCCGAAGTTAAAATCCTTTACTGAATAAAATGAATAATTTCTTCAGCACTTTCATGTATTAAGAAGTATGTATTCTATATACAAAAAAGCCCTGACAAAAGTTAAGTAAAATGGAACAGGTAACAATTTAGACGTATTTTCCTGTTAAATATATTAAAATTCTAAAAAGAGAAAAAAAAAGTAAAATGTGTTGCTTACCTTAAAAAGTTTTGAAGTTTTTTTTTTATATTCTGTATAGAAAAGTCCCGTTTGAAGCTAAACCGAAGACGTAGCTGTCCTTATAAGTGATAAAGCTATGCCGTCATAAAACCCACTCCTACAGATATATCGAACTTTTATATTGTTGATGATCTTATTCTTAGTGACAATGCGTATCTTTGAAGTCAAAAGTCATCAGCATTTGTAAAATCAGAATCATCCATATCACTTAAACGTTTGTTGTAAAATATGTCACGTGATTATTTAATGATCGATTAAAACCTTGATATCAAATGATAAGGAAACATATTTACATTAAAGTGTAAAGTTCCAATAAAATCTAGAAATTGTTCTTATGGTCGCTTTTAATACTAAATGACATTAAGTCAATACATTAACAACATATATAGTATTTCTAATAAATGTCACAAGCGACCGGGTGAAAAACTAATGTGCATTCGAATAAAACAATGCCTCATTTTTTTTTAAATACTTGAGTACAAAAAATTTAAAACTAAGGTGAAATTGCTATTGTCTTAGTTCCAACAACTGAGATGTTTACACAAAACTGAATCCTACACTGTCATCATGTTTTTGTTCAAAAGCAAACAACACTGACATGAAATTAAGTAATATAGCTTGATTGAGTTATACATACGATTTTATTTCCGCGTCGTAAGAGAACAAGAATCTATGAGATTTTCAAGCCGTTGTCTTGCCTATCTGCCTATATTTAGTCTATACATGGCTTTGTACAATAATACAGACATGTAATGGAAAGTCTAGATAGGTTTAGAGATAACGTGCCTGCTTTAACATTAGATAGATAACAATTCCTTGGGTATTATACAGATCAGCATCGTCAATTTATCAATCAATTACATTCATTGAGTTACGTGTACTTCTTAATACTCTTAAACTTAGTCAAGGGTCTATTTAACTAAAGAGTTTATATACATAAGGAAAATTAAAATACAATATGAAACAATACTGTTCGTCAATGTACTTGACTTTTTCAACTGTTGAAGAAAGGGGCGAAGAAATAGATACAAAGGTGACAATAAAAACTATAAGTGAAGAAAAACAGACAACAACCATAGCCAAAAGATAAACAGACAACAACCATGACTAAAAGATAAACAGACAACAACCATGGCCAAAGATAAACAGACAACAACCATGGCCAAAAGAAAAAAGGACCGCATACTATGATCGGTCCTCAAAACACTTCAAGGAAAACTAAATAATCAACAACACGAACACCCAACTGATAATGAGAGTAAACTCCAGAAGGATGAGAAGTTCTTGCTCCACTAGCGAAACCAGTCGTGTTGCTCATAGCAAGAATACACCCGTTGGTGATTCGCATTCTGTGATGTCACAATCGACAGCGACGGTCTGTTGGAAATAACCGATTGAACCACTCTTTTCGTTTTGGCTTACTTTAATCTGCATAAACCTTTTAGAGATACGCGATGTTTTTTTCTTATGACAAGACTGTATGCCTTTTCTAACTTCTTTCTTTTTTGGATACATTCAATTGAATCATTTGGTAATTTGTTTGTTCTCCTCAGGTTTATATAAATGAAATGTATTTTTCTTCTAGACGTTCAAAATAATTAATCATGATAGCTGTTAACATCGAGTAAGCAAGTTTGCATGTCACGACATGGCTTTTAATTTTGAGATTCTAATGAAATTGCATGGCATTTTAGTTTATTGAATCTTTTTTTTTTCTTTCTTGAAAAAGATAAACAATACCAAAGAAGAGGATGCATGTTGAAAGCAATTATTTAACCCATGAAATAACAAAAATAGTAAAAGCTTCAATCTATAAAAATTGTGTTAATTTTATTGATTAAGAAATAGGATTATATAATCTGGACATTTTCGTGCAAAATTTGATTTGTAATGTCACCATGATGTAAGTATTTCGAATTGACATTTAGGTATTTGAACTAAAAAGGCCGTTTTATATAAATAGTTTATGAACAAAATAGATATGAGCCTTACACAACACAATATTAGTTGATAAAGAGTCCTCAGAATATGTATAAAAGGTATAACTTTAATTTGATGTTTATCTTAAAACTATGTCGATTTTTGTATGTAGTTTTTTTCTTATCTAGAGACGTTCATGTGTATTCATTTTGAAGACATGTATTTATAAGGTACGTGTTTTTCCTATCGATGGTAATCTTAGACTGTTACTATCTGTAATCAATCGTATGAATAAGAGACAACAAAAAGAAAGAAAGAAAAAACGAAAAACGGGAATTTAGCTTCTAAATGTCAGCAGTTCTCCCTTTTCATGTTTTTTTTAAAGACCTTCTTTTAGGCCACACCAAATAAATTTCTAGTTATTCGGACCCTTTCCTATAAAAAAGGGTAGCGAGAGAGCGAAATTTTTTTCATTTGGTTTTTTTTTCCGAAATTTGATTTTTGACAGGCGAAAGAATTTTTTACTAGCGAGCGATATTATTTTTGAAATATTTAAAAAAAAAATATATGCTGAAAAGAATTTTAAGCACCCTTGGCGGATTAAGAGAGAATTTCGGATCCACGAGGTAATGCTTTCCATTGGTCGCAGTCGTAACTGGCTGCATCCAATCAAAAAGGACCTTTAACATGATCACGTGTTAATGTAGAAAGTGTTAGATAAACAATTGCCACAATTGTGCAACAAGTCTTTTACCCCAAAAAAATATACGACGATATTTAGTGACAATTTAAATGTTCTTAATAAACTAATAGAAGTTCTTAAATGTGTTTCTTCCGCAAATGTAGGAATGTCAACTTATATTTTCGGTTCCTGCTTCACGAAGTTTGTAAACTCTAGACGCTACCGTTTTTACACCTCCACACTGAAGAGAGTTCAAGTGCTACCATTGGTCAAGTATAATGTATTCGGAATGGGCGTGACTGTTATCAACCGATAGATGGCGCAACATTGTTATCACAAATGTTAACTTAATCTGCCAAGGGTGGAGAGGAGGGGACTTGATCGTAACCCTTGGCTAGCGAAGATGATGTTTAATGTTAGTTATAATTGATGCATTGTATGTTGTTTTAAATGTACGTATGGAAAGCATAAATGCATGTATAAAGCTTGTATATACAACCATAAATATTTATGTATACAACAAGCTGACAATTAATAAAGGACTGTCCTTCAAAAACCACACCAATTTATACCATTCAAATGAACCAGTCATATACTAACTAAACAAAAGGAACATTTCAATACATTCCACTGAAGTCATTGCTTTCCTGTAGAATTTAAAGACAACCATTTTTTTATATCTATATATGCATGTGGATATTGCTCTGTGCTGAAGGCCATACCGTTAAATAGTTGCAAACCTCAACAAATTTGGTTTCTTGTGGAAGGTTGTCTCATTTACATTCATACAACTTATTTTTAGAAGATTTTCTAAATTGTACAGATGAATTAATGTGATAAATTTAATTACCACATAAACATTCTTGTCAAATTCCATGTTTTTAACTAGTATACATAATTAAGCCAGCCTCTGTATGCGGGATTTTCTTGCTGTGTTGAAGACCCATTGGTGGCTGTTTTCTGCTATTTGGTTAGGTTGTTGTCTCTTTGACACATTCCCCATTTCCATTCTCAATTTATTTTTAATATAACTTTGTAATGATACTAGCAAATATAAATAAAAGATTAACAAAATTCAAGGAAAAACCTTTAATCTAAAACAGATTAAAAAAAAAATAGTTTCATTTGCAGTGCCATTTCAATTCATATACCATCAGCTTTGGGATTCTCTTTTATTCTAATGCATGTTATATTGTCATAATTTAAATCTTTCAATTCAGTGGCATCGTTGCTTTGCCATTTGATCTTGAAAGGTATACGGTGAATCAATCAAGGATATTACTACACTGCGCGAGAGTCAAGTAACTCACTTAGGTGGGACTCCCCTTACAATATCACTGAAAGTTTAAGCTGGTTCTTCTGCTGTTTGAATGATTCAAATGAATCTTGGTGAAAATATCCAGTAGCAGTAGGTTCCAATCTTTAATTGTGTTTGGTATGAAGCAGGAATTTAATTTGTCTGGTTTTGTTTACAGTCTCAGCCTCAGGAAATGTTGACCATAACGCATGTTCTTGGTTGTCCTAGATGGGTTTTTTTTCAGTTGGTCAGATGGTAAATTGGCTTCACCGTGTATGCCATTGCATAAGAGGATATTGTCTGTTTTGGTGTAGACGATCTTTTAGGGATGGTAGTTGCAGCTGGTCTTAAAATTGTTGTCATATTGCCTGGGTCGTAATTGTTGTTTGATGTTATGAACGTTTGTGGTCTTGCACGGAGCACTCCCAACAAATCGGTAAAAGAATTGCCCAAACTATATTCTACTGATGTGTTTGGCTGCGTTACCACTGTAACTATAAATAGTCCACTCATGTCGTACGTTAAGAATGCTTATCATACTAAATTTGGCAATAATATTGTAACAACAACGTTGTGTATGTTAGATCTAGATCGTTTTGATGTCAATTTCCGTGTCTGTATGGTGTAACTTTCAAACGCACAACTATTAAAATTTTTGCTTGATAAATTTAGAGACGGACGCGCGCGGCTCCGTAATGGACGCGGGTTTTTAAAAAAGGTACTTTTTCTGGTCGACCTTTCACAACACGCGGGGAATCCGAACGAGGTATTAATTTGGCGTGGCCTTACGGGAAGAATCAAACTATTTATTATAAACTTTGCCAATAGTATTGTATAATATGGCATGATTCTATAATTATGAGCTACATTAGAAGTACTTATTACAAGTGGATATTACAATACTGAAAAATTACGTTTACGAAAATCTGCAATTAATGCACACCTATTTGAAACATAGTCTGTTTGTATATTTCTGTATTTATCGAATCATAGGCGGTAACACAATTCAAAAATAGTAAGCTTATATTACTCCCTCTATCATACATGATACCATATTTAGTACTTGAATAACTTTATTTTAGACGCTTTAACTACATGTAATTGTATCAATAAATGTTAAGGGTGTGCTTTACCAGTATTAATAACTATTTATCGTTGACTGACAGCAAGCAGTGATGCAACGAAAAACTTTTAAGAAGCTTATGTGAACAAATTTATCAAACGACAACATCAGAAAAGCACTTTCAGCTGCAGTGTTTTTTCATATTTTTCAAAGAAGAATGGCTAAGACCTGATATCCATCCGT